TTGAAGTTGTTGTTGAACGCTTTGTTGCCTTCTTGACATTTTCCTCCAGTTGTTCACTGGAGGCGCTCTGGGAACGGCTGGGGATTGCTTCGGGCAGTCTCTGGGAAGGTTATCCGTAAGGGCTTCGCCCCCTGCCGCCGGCCCCCTCTCTCGGATAATGGGCCATGGAAGAGCTAAGTCATGAGGCCTTGGCGCTGTCGTGAAGCAGTATCGAAACTTCTTGCGAAGCCGATTCGCAATCAGCAAAACCAACTGATCACAAGAGGGGTTACCACACCTGGCGATTGGTAAGACGTGTATGGTTTACGGGCTTGGTTACCACACCTTGCGATTAAAGGGCCGAGGGAGTTCTCGCAGTTTGGGTTACCACGCCTTGCGTGATGGAATTTCAGAAATGTGGCGTGAAGGGGTGGCACCGAATTTCAGAAATGTGGCAAATCCCCTGTGTTTTTGGACCCTGACCCCGCGGATCTGCGTGAGGGGTGGCACCGAATTTCAGAAATGTGGCAAATCCCTGTGTTTTTGGACCCTGACCCCGCGGATCTGCGTGAGGGGTGGCACCGAATTTCAGAAATGTGGCAAACCCCGCGGATCTGCGTGAGGGGTGGCACCGAATTTCAGAAATGTGGCAAATCCCATGTGTTTTTGGACCCTGACCCCGCGGATCTGCGTGAGGGGTGGCACCGAATTTCAGAAATGTGGCAAATCCTTTGTGTTTTTGGACCCTGACCCCGCGGATCTGCGTGAGGGGTGTCGATTTCGAGCCCCCCCAGCAATTCAGACAACGCGCCCAGGGGACGCTAAAAAGCCACTTTGGGCCTCCTCCCCCCTCGCGCGGTCAATCAACTAGTTACAGTAACCAGCAATAAGTCAACTAGTTTCAGTAACCAGCAAGAAGCAGAATTGTAACACTGGAAACTACAACCTACGACTGGTACAGGAAACTGCGAATCACGGGCCTACAGCTTGGTGGCCCCACAAGGGGGCCAGCGGATTTTTTTTCCCGGAAAGGGCGTAGGCCAAGGGTTTTCTTTTAGTATGTAAACATATCCCCCCGTGCCCAACTTGAAGGAGGCCGGCGGATTCTTTCCCTGATAAATATCGAGGTCGAAGGGGGCCGGCGGATTAAAATTTGAGGATGTCTCAGGCGAAACGCTTGTTTTTGAAATCCCGATAGATAAATCACAGGGTGCGGGACACCTCAGCACGACCACACCCCAGCACGACCACACCCCAGCACGACCACGCCCCAGCACGACCACGCCCCAGCACGACCACACCCCAGCACGACCACACCCCAGCACGACCACACCCCAGCACGACCACACCCCAGCACGACCACACCCCAGCACGACCCGATCGATAAATCACAGGGTGCGGAGCACCCCAGCACGAACCCACCCCAGCACGACCCCACCCCAGCACGACCCCACCCCAGCACGACCACGCCCCAGCACGACCACACCCCAGCACGACCACACCCCAGCACGACCACTCCCCAGCACGACCCCACCCCAGCACGACCCCACCCTAGCACGACCACACCCCAGCACGACCACACCCCAGCACGACCCCACCCCAGCACGACCACACCCCAGCACGACCCCACCCCAGCAAGACCACACCCCAGCACGACCACACCCCAGCACGACCTTACCACAGCACGACCACACCCCAGCACGACCACGCCCCAGCACGACCACGCCCCAGCACGACCACGCCCCAGCACGACCACGCCCCAGCACGACCACCCCAGCACGACCACAGCACCCCCCAGCACACCCCCCCAGCACGACCACCCCCCAGCACGACCACACCCCAGCACGACCACTCCCCAGCACGACCACACCGCCTTGGTTGAGTGGTTGCCTGTCGTCGTGGAATGTTTCGTGGGGTGTCTCGTGGAATGTTTCGCGGGGTGTCTCGTGAAATGTTTCGTGAGGTGTCTCGTGGAATGTTTCGTGAGGTGTCTCGTGGGCTGTTTCGTGAGGTGTCTCGTGGGATGTTTCGTGAGGTGTTGCCCAGTTGGGTATCATGAAAACGTGTCCATGCTCCACATGTCTATATCACTTTCCGGGTTCGTGGGTCCATCATGTTTTGCTCTGGAGCAGGAATGGCTCCTTTGGGCAGCTTCCGCGAGGTGGATTCGTAGCGTGGGGGGTGCGCGCGAATTTGGTTTAATTTGCGGGGGATCGTGGCCTCGGGGACGCGAATTTAGTGTAATTTACAAGGGATCGTGGCCTGGGGGGCGCGACAACGGCGTAATTTACGAGGGATCGTGGCCTCGGGGGCGCGAATGTAGCGTAATTCGGGCGGAATCGTGGCCTCGGGGGCGCAAATGTGGCGTAACTTGCGAGGGATCGTGGCCTGGGGGGGTGAATGTGGAACCCACCGCCGAATTTTCCAGAAACGGGGGGGGGGCAAAATAATACCAGCGGAGCACATATCGCAAAACAGAAAATTGTTGCTTTTCTGCTTTGGAGAGGGGGAGCGCCTTTTCGGCAGCTTCCGCGAGGCGGATTCGTGGCTTCGGGGGCGCGCCCGCTGCGTAATTCACAAGGGATCGTGGCGTCAGGGGCGCGAATTCGTCCTAATTTACAAGGGATCGTGGTCTCCGGGTCGCGAAAATTACATAAATTACCTGGGATCGTGTCTTCGGGGGCGCGAATGTGGCGTAAATTGAAAGGGATCGTGGCCTCGAGGGCGCGAATGTGGTGTACTTTACAAGGGATCGTGGCCTCGGAGATGCTAATGTGGAGTAAATTACAAGGGATCGTGGCCTCGGAGATGCGAATGTGGTGTAATTTGCAAGGGATCGTGGCCTCGGGGGCGCGAATGTCGTGTGAATTGCGAGGGATCGTGGCCTCGAGGACGCGAATGTGGAGTACTTTACAAGGGATCGTGGCCTCGGAGATGCAAATGTGGAGTAAATTACGAGGGATCGTGGCCTCGGAGATGCGAATGTGGTGTAATTTGCAAGGGATCGTGGCCTCGGGGGCGCGAATACAGAGTAATTTGCGAGGGATTATGGCTTCGGGGGCACGAAACTATTATATTTTTACGTGTCCCACGCCCCCCCAGAAATTCTGAGATCCTTCCCGGGGGACGCTGACCAGGGCCCTTTTCGGCTCCCCCCCCTCGCGCGGACAGTATCAACTTACAGTAGGAAGTAGAAAGCAGTACTGTAACAAGGGAAGCTGGAAACTGCAACTGGTGCAGGGAGCAGCAACCTTAATCCTCGCAGCCTGATGGCCCCACAAGGGGGCCGGCGGAGATACATATACATATGTATGTATATCGCACCACGTTGAGGGCACCACATATGTTGCAACACGTAGATTGCATTTCCTAGTTTGCACAACGTAGGCTGCCAGACACGCACTGTTCGGGGTCCACGTTGGCTAACAGTGCTTAGACATGAAGGGGGATGCGTCCGGCTGGGTGTGGGCGGAGGGAGGATGGGTCCTTCACTCATCCTTGGTTTTCCAGACAGATGCTCTACCAGACAGTTCGTGGCATTCTTCCAGTCCCCAACGTGCCACGGGGCACGGTGGCGGATCTTTCTTGCGACTTTCAGAGACTGAGGGGATGCTGCTGTCAGGCACCTGTTGGAGTTCTGGCACCCGCAATCCGCTGCTGATCCGGGTGGTCGGCCCCGGAGGGCCCGGAACGGCTCCCAGCTTGTCGATAGATGTGGCAGCGGAGGACATTTTCCGGCTCAGTTGCGTGTCTTACGGCAGTCTCTACTCCGCCCCGCGGCTTCCTGTCACCACGAGGACTGCCGATAAGGCCGCCTACTTCCATGCTACCGCAGACGTGCACAAAACCCAGCAGGGTCAGCGCGCGAAGGTCCAAGAGGAGCAGGCGATATTCAGCCAGGGCAGGCAACAGTACTGGCTCTGACTCCGCGCCGAGGGCGGCAGTCCGCCCCCGTCGGCGCTGCGGCTCAAGTGTAGAGGCTCCCGATCGGAGCAGACTGCCCTCGAGCAGTCTTCTCGCCATCTTTTGGCGCCGCTGCTGCTCCTCTTCCCCCCATTTCCTGCCTGCCTCAGGCTTACCCGAGTCAGCATGCTGCCATTCCCTTGATCCGTCTGGGCACAGCCTGGGGCGATGTATGTACGCAGAAGCCGATCAATCCTTGCTCGGCCGGGGAGCCATCCGGGGGAACGGACGGCCATTAGGTATCGTGTGGCAGCAGAAATAATCCCCCCCCAGCTTTCAGTGACAGCGAGGCGGCAAGACACTAGTTCTGGCGAGACGCTCAGGCGAGACGCTCAGACTCATTGGCTGGTCCGAGGTCACGGGACTTGGCCCCCTGTGGCCGGACTTGGTGCTCTCTTCACTCCCTGCATCTTTGCATGAGTCCACAGCTTGTAGCCTCGAGGTGCCTCAAGGGGTTGGTCTCGCGATTCTGGCGGCTTCATGAGGCCCCAGGAGGTCCCAAGAGTTGTCAGACGTCCTAGGAACCATTACGGGAAGGAGGCGCCATAAGGCGCCCACCGCTGCCCAGGAAACGCCATGGGCCCAAAGGAGGTTTCAGGGCGTTTGAGGAGGACGCACTATGCTCCAAAAGGGTTCAGGAGGTCCCAGGACGCCCCAGGAGGCTCCAGGAGAACCCCCAGAGGCTTCAGGAGGCCACTTTTACCCCAGCAGGCTCAGGAGGCCCCAGGATTCCCCGGAAGTATGACAAGAGTCTGGAGGAATTCTCAGGCGAGCGCACGGACCGCCCAACACGGCGCATCACAGCACAGAGTACAGCATAGCGAACAATCATATACCGAAGTATGCACATCAGCCTCAGCATCCGGGGGATATCCATTGACAACGTCCATTGACGACTTTGTTGGCAATGGTTTAAACTGTCGTGCGCGAATTTGTCAGACATTCTCCACTTGGACGGGGTATATTTCGAAAGTCCAGCATCGATCGAGCGAAGTTTGCTGGCTCAGGATTAAGTGCCTCCAGCTTCGGGAACTTCATTGCACCCCTGCTATTGCGTCGGATCGTGGTGGGCTTGAATGAGTGTGCAGGGGGGGTGAAACATCTCGCATGTCTCTGACCCCAAAAGGATCGGCGGCTGTGGCTCCTTGCGAAAAGAACGTCTCACCAAGCCATCCCCTCACAGTGCTTACCCTCAGGGCTCTTCATTACATGTTCCGTCTAGTGATTGGCTGCTGTTTCCGGTCTTTTAGGCGGTGTTCGCCCATCGCCGCTCCGTCGCCGCCCCGCGCGCTGGCTGGAGTTTCTTGCTCTTGGGCGGGGGGCCGCCCGTCGACGCCTCGTCGCCGCCCCGCTCGCTGGCTGGCGTCCCTTGGTTTTCGGACGGCGGCCCCGGTGGGGACCCGCACACTGCATCAGGCCCACTTGGGAGGGATTTGAAGCTTCCGAGTCCGTTCGGAGAAAGGCGGGGGTATATCTCCTCTATGCTACGCACGCAGATGGAATGCGTAGCCCGCGTTCTGCCCCGCCGAGGCGGGCGAGCTTCACCTCGCCCTCCGTGGTTCGTCTGGCGCTCCGCTGAAGGATCTGACCAATCATCGTTTGCTGCCTGATGGTAGTCGGTATCGACGCGAGCTCCAGGGAGAGAGAGGGAGAGAGAGAGAGAGAGAGAGAGAGGGAGAGACACACACACAAACACATTCACACACACACACGCACGCACACGCACTCGCACACCCACACGCACACGCACGCGCACACGCACACGCACACGCACACGCACACGCACACGCACACGCGCACGCACACGCACACGCACACGCACACGCACACGCGCATGCACACACACACACACGCACGCACGCACATGCACACGCACATGCGCACGCACACGCACACGCACACGCACACGCACACGCACACGCACACGTACACGCACACGCACGCGCACGCGCACGCGCACGCGCACGCGCACGCACATGCGCTCGCACACCACACGCACACGCACACGCACACGCACACGCACACGCACACGCACACGCACACGCACACGCACACGCACACGCACACGCACACGCACACGCACACACACGCACGCGCACGCGCACGCGCACGCGCACGCGCACGCGCACGCGCACACGCACACGCACACGCACACGCACACGCACACGCACACGCACATTCACACACACACACGCACACACACACACGCACGCACGCACGCACGCACGCAAACACACATCACACAACACACACAACACACTACACACACTACGCACACAGGACACACATTCTCTAGACACGCAACACACAACACACCACACAGAACACACACAACACACAGAACACAAAACACACAACACACAACACACACAACACACAACACGCAGCCCACACAGTACACACCACACACAACATACAGAACACGCAACACACAAAACAGACACAACGCACCCACCACACAACACACACCACACACAACACACATAATATACATAACGCACGACACACACAACAGTCACAACAAACACCACACACACCACACAACACAAAACACACACACACCACACAACACACACAACCCACACATCTCACAGAACACACGTAACACACAACACACACAACACAACACACAACACACAACACACACACACACCAGGCACACCACACACAACACCTGCAACACGCACAACGCACAACGCACAACACACACAGCACACACAACACACAGAAAACACAATACACAACACACAGCACACATACATCACACGCAGCACACACCACACACCACACAACACACAGCACACACAACACACAACACACACAACACACACACACATCACACGCCACACAACACACACACAAAACACACAACACACAACACACAGCACACACAACCCACATAACACACAACACACAACACACACAACACACACCACGCACAACACATGCAACCCACACAACACGCATAACACACAACACACACACAACACACACAACACACAACACACACAACACAGAACGCAGAGCACACAGCACACACAACACACAACACACAACACACACAACACACAACACACACAACACACCCAACACAGACAACACCACACAACACACAACGCACAACACACAACACACAACACACATACCCCACAGCAGACACACTATACACAACACACAAAACATACACCGCACACAACACATATACCACGCACAACACACAACACACAACTCACAACTCACAACACACACAAACCACACAACACACAACACACACAACACGCACCACACACAACACACAGCACACACACAAAACCCACAGCACACAACACACAACACACACCACACACACCACACACAACACACAACACACACAACACACAACACACAACACACGCAACACACAACACACTCAACACACTCAACACAGTCAACACACTCAACACACTCAACACACAACACACAATACACACCACACACAACACACAACGCACCAACACACAATATACCCCACACACAACACACAACACACAACACACACAACACACATCACACACAACACATTACACACAATACACACAACACACAACACACAACACACAACATACAACACACAAAACATTTAGCACAATCAGCACACCACACAACACACACACAACACACAACACACAACACACGACACGCACAACACACAACACTCACAACACACAACAGATACACCACACACATACACACAACCAGAACAATCACACACACAACCACAGCAACAAACATTCACACACGCACACACACACACACTTACACACCATACACAACGCACCCGGGACACTCAACACACACAACTCACAACACACAACTCACAACACACAACACACACAACACACAACACACACAAAACACAACACACAACTCACAAGACCCGCACACGCACACCCACAACACACAGCACACAGCACAGCACACACAACACACAACACAACGCACACAACACACAACACACAACACACAACACACAACACACAAGACACAACACACACCACACACACGCACACACGCAGACACAACACGCACAACACACAACACACAACACACAACACACAGCGCACACAACACACAATACAACACACACAATACACACACACGCACAACACCAAACACACAACACACAACACACAACACGCAACGTACACACAAGGGGCCATAGCGAAAGACGTGACGACCTCTATACAACGACAGACAGCCAGAAGGGGGTAGACCAACAGAACACGGACACACCGAGACAGACAAGTAATAGTAGAAGGAGGGAGAGACAGGTCGAAGAACAGGGCGCAGATACTGTAACAATCAGCGATCTGATGTCAGGGTCGGCCCAAGGCAGCACTACACGACCGAGTGTGTCCAGCCCGTGCCTCCGCGGCAAGACTCCTTTCAGACGCCTCCGGCAGCGATGCTCGCTGGCCTCGCTGCGGCCTCGGCCTTCGTCGTCCCCGCGCCCAGCGGGAGCGTCGTGAGCAGCGCCGTGCCTGGGCGCCGGTTCCTGGCACCGGAGGCGGCTGCGCCCGAGCAGCCTGCGAGCCTCGGCGCTGGCAGCGTCCTCGCGGCGGCAGGCGTGTGCGCCATCGCAGCTGGCGCTGCGGCGCGGGCCGAGCACCGCCGCCCCCGCGCGCGGGCGGTGGTGGCCTGCCGCGCCGCGGAGCCCGACACCGAGGCACTCGCGAAGCAGGTGACAGCCAGCGCCGCTGCCACGATGGTCGCCGTCAGCGCAGCGGCGGCGCCTGCGTCTGCCTACCCGATCTTCGCGCAGCAGAACTACCCGAACCCCCGGGAGGCGACCGGCAAGATCGCGTGCGCCAATTGCCACCTCCAGGGCAAGTACATTGAGGTCAAGATGCCCCACGAGGTCCTCCCCGACACGATCTTCAAGACCCTCATTGAGCTCCCTCTCAAGTACGAGAAGAGGGTTCAGCCGATCGCCGACGGCTCCAAGGCCAGTCTGAACGCTGGCGCTATCGCGATCATGCCCGAGGGTTGGAAGCTGGCGCCGAAGGACCGGCTCCCCAAGGCGCTGAAGAAGCAGATGAAGGGGCTCGCCTGGTCGCCCTACAGCAAGGACAAGCCTAACATCGTCGTCGCAGGGCCGGTGCCAGGAAAGATCTATGAAACGATGGTGCTCCCGATCCTCGCCCCCGACCCCAACAAGACCCCCGAAATTGTTTTCAACAAGTACGAGTTCTACTTCGGGGGCAACCGGGGACGCGGGCAGGTCTACCCGGAGGGCAACCTCAGCAATGTCAACATGTATACCGCGGCGGCTGAGGGCACCGTTACCGAGATCGTCCCGGGAGAGAAAGTGGTCATCACGAAGGCGGACGGCACGGCTGTGGACTCGCTCATTGGCAAGGGGGCCACAGTGGTGGTCGAGGTCGGCGAGAGCGTGAAGAAGGACGAACAGATTACCACGAACCCCAACGTGGGTGGCTTTGGGCAGGAAGACAAAGAGGTGACGCTGCAGGACATGAACCGGGTGTACGCGTACTGCGGCCTGTCCATCTCGATCTTCCTGGCCCAGCTGGTTTTTGTGCTGAAGAAGAAGCAGTTCGAGAAGGTGCAGCTGGCCGAGGGCTTCTGATCAGTAGTCCGCGAGAGGGCACGCCCTGCGGCACCCCAGCCTCCCTCCTCGCATCTCTTATCTAGGCCTCGAAAATGGGGTCCGGGCAGATGGGGTCGGAGGGTCGCGCCGCATCGCCGATGCATCGGCGATGCGGCTCGATCTTCGGACCCCATCTACTCTGGCCCCATGTAGGAAGCCTCTATCCTACGGCCGCCTCCAGGCGAGAAGAGTTTTTGTGTTTGCGGCCGGCATTTTCGGCCCGCCCGCGGGGAATCGGATCCCCCCCGCGAGAGCCCAGTCTGGCACTGTTCGTTGGCGTGAAAGGAAGTATAGTATGGAGCAGACTGGTCTGTGGTGACCTGGCGGTGGCCTGCGGCCTGTGCGCCTCTTGTGTGTCCCCTCGAGCTCCTGCACAGCCCCATGTTCGCATGCGTGCATCATCAGGTGTCAGATGTCAGTGTCCACTTCCCGTCCGTGCGTTTGGGACTGTCCTGTTCTTCCAGCCAGCTTGTCTCCCAGCCGCTCTTTCGCCCATCTGTCCATCTTCCACTGCACCTGCTAGTAATCACAAACAGTTCAGTGCAAGGATGACGTTTAACGTAAGCGCTGCCACACACAGAGACGTGGTAGTGTAAAGAAATCTGAACCACTAGCCTTCCGCTGTTGAGAAGGTAGAGGGATCGAATGGTGCATGTTTTTTTCCCGAAGCAGTGCTTGCACTGATGGTCCTTCATTGCCTTCAAAGGACTTATCTTGGGTTGACGCTGGTTACGCTTGCACAGGGGGCCGCCATGTTTCTTCGCCAAATGTGTTCCTTTCTTGTCTCCATCTTTTCTTCCCTCCCTGATCTCCTTGTTTCAGCAGCAGGGACATCGTTTTTTCTTCCGCCCTCGAGCCCTGCTTGCACTCATGTGTTCTTGTTTCTCGGGTGCAGTCATCGGAGCTTCAGGGGCCACCTCAGAACCATCATGGAGGCGTCTTGGGGTTGCCTGGCGTCATGAGAACATGGTAGGTGCACTGGTGAGCTTGTAATGGCCTCCCCTGGGGCCCTGTATGTCTTTCTGTGTGTCAGGAAAGTCCATGGGGTGCGCTGGCGATCTCATGGGGACCCCTCTCCCCCTGCGATCGGGGTGTCGGACCCGCGGGGTATGTTGTCCGTGCTTTTTGCGGCTCCTCGCCATCGGGCGCCAGGATTCGCCCCTGCTCCGCCACGCCGTGCTTGATCACCCCGCCGCCTGGCGCCGCCGACCTTACCATCATCCTATGCCGTGCCGCCCGAGGCCGCTGCTTCGGTGGTGCATAGGCTGCGGCGGGTGTCCTGGTTTGGCCTCTCGTTGTTCAAGTCCTGGGTGGTCCCAGAGCCAGCCAGCTCAGCTGGATGGCTGCCTGCGCTGTGCGCCTTCGGACTACGGCCGAACTGCGGGACAGAAGTGAACGCGCTGCCGCCCCTCCCGTTGCGCCCAGGGCGCTCGCATGATTCACACCGGCTTCTAATCGTCGCGCGCCGCCAGGTTCCAGCCTGTGCATGCTCACCATTTTTTTCCCAACCATCCTGTGGCGTTGAGTCCTCGTTTTGAAGAGACAGCGCCCCGCGTCTCCTCCTCCTCCTCCTCCTCCTCCTCCTCCTCCTCCTGACAACCATGACCCCATGAAGTACCTGGATGAACGTGCAGAAGCATGGGCAGCAAGATGGATCCCCAGCGTGTTCTTCGGCCGCGATATGGACAACTTCAACGACTGGATGGACTGGTGCGTCCCGTACATCACAGCTGTTCTACACCGCACCCAGTTCAATGCGCACTGCTGCCTCGATGACCAGTACGGGTCAGCCAGTGCTCGCCGTGACATGGCGAAGGAGATATGTTACGGTGCATGGCATCGAGCTGAACGGCCTCGCAACCACCGCCTACAGATCTACACCACCGAGCACATGCCGACCAACACTCATCGATAATTTGCTGATGAAGCTGCTGAACACCGCGCCCGCCGTCGATGGATCGAACGGGAACGTGCCACCAACCCGAACATCCCGCAGGAAGACGACGGCACTCAGTCTACCATTACGACCACCTCCACACCTCACATCTATTCCGCCAATGACATCATGATGGGCTCCGATACATCCGACCGTGACGGACTTCTTGGCCGAGCTGCTCTCCCTGCGAGTGTTGAGCACGTCTGGCGCGACCTGCGGCCCCACCTGGCGAACTCCGCGGCCTCGCTCTTCTGGCCCGTGGTCAAGACCTTGTCTGGAGCATGGGCGACATCACACCGCATGCACGTCAATCCCCACAAGAAGAACTGCCTGTTCGGCTGCGACAAAGACTCGCAGATCAAGAACACGGACGACATCAACCACTACATCACATGCCCGCGAATGTGGGCGCTACTGGCTCAACCTCGGGGACAACCTGCTGGTGATGTCCTCACACGGCTCGGACTCCACGAGAGCGACAACATTGACGACCACCCGAAGCACACCATCCCACGCATGGCTGTGGCCTTCCGCGCGTACAACATCATGCGGGTGCGCACCGAGCTGGGCACGCCCGCCATCCACGACGAGCTCAAGTACCACAAGGAGGTGGTCGCAGCCGTCCGCCGCGTCCTGAGGTTGCCACGGTGCCTCGTGGGCGGCGCGGGCCCGCTGCGCCTCTAACCCGCGGACACGCGGCCCCAGTGGCAGGGTCCACACGGCGGCGCCGCCCCATTTTGGAGCACCCTTCACAGTTCGTGGCCCCGTAGGGAGCTCCACCGAAGCCCCCAGTGGCAGTGTCCACATGGCGGCACCGCACCATTTTGGGGCACCACTCGCAGGGTCCGTGGCCTCATAGGGAGTCCCACCGAATGCCCCAGTGGCAGGGTCCACATGGCGGCGCCGCCACATTTTGGTGCACCTCTCACGCGGTTCGTGGCCCCGTGGGGAGCTCAACCGAAGGCCCCAGTGGCAGGGTCCGCATGAAAGCGCCGCACCCATTTCAGCACCTCTTGCTGGGAAGCAAATGAAGACAAAACGGCCGCGCACGGGGCTTGGGCTACCGTGGGCCCTCCTTCTCCGACTCATATCCTTCGCGGTACTCGCGGCTGCATATGATTGGGTCCTTCGCGAGGCTAATTTCCTTCTGCGCTCTCGGGTCTTGAACCGTCCAGTGATGTTCACTTTGTGGACTAGCTCGGGCTCTGTGCGTGTTTTCGAGGTGCCGTGCGCTCTGGTTGGCGGTTGTCGCTTTGCGACCGGTTGAGCTGGTTCTGTTCTCTACATGGTCCACTTCACAGTGGATTATCGTTGGATTCTTTGCTTCACATCTTGAGCGCAAGCAGCATAAAAGGAGGTGTATTACGACGACGTCAATTCTTGACGCTTCGCGTATCCCCACCATCGGCAGGCCTGGTACGCCGCGGATCTTAATCCAGAGCTCCTGGACCTGGTCCTCGGCCCCTCCGTTGACCTCCTGGTCTGGATTGGCAAGAAACCGGCCGCCGAGCTTCCCAACGACATGCGTCCCTTGCAGCTCCCCACTTGCCTACGAAGACTGCACGGAGCAACCGTGGCCGACTGCCTCGGCCCCGTGATCGAGCCAAGGCTTAGCCCCAATCAAGCCGCCAAGCGCGGAGGGCAATGCGGTCCCGACATCACTTCCGCCACCAACCACCTCTCCTTGGATCCGGGCGCCGACGCCGAACCCGGGCCCTCGTGGGCCGCCCTGCTTGGCGCGCACCAAGACGCTGTTGACCAGTATATACAGGGCGCTGCAAGGCACCTAGGCCCTGCTCCAAGCGCCGCTGTCCTCTTCTGCGACCAGAACAAAGCCTTCGAGCGCATATCCTTGCAATGGATGGGGCAGCTGGCGAGGCGGTGGCAATTCCCTAGCTGGCTCCTGCACTCCGTGGATTGCCTCGTCGGCAGCAGGAGCGTGCGCACCTGTGAAGGTAGGTTCAAGAGCAGAATAAGGAAACTCTTGCGGTCCATCGGCCGATGGGAGGCACGGCCTCCCCACTCCTCTGGTGCTTGGGTTACGACCCTCTCATCAGCGCCCTTGCAGACATCACCGGGGCGGGCGATCCGACGTACGTGGACGATCTGGCTGCCCTATTGGGCGCCACCGCACAAGCACTACGCGCCGGCATTGCCCTGCCCTGGCTCGCAAGAGCGGCAGGGCTCCTCGTCGAAGCCCACAAGTGCAGGGGCATTGAAGCCCCATCCGGAATCAACGTCAGGCAGCACCTGGACACTGCCCCCGTGGGCTTTACTGACAATGGCACCACTACAACAGTTATAGGCCTGCCGGCGGGGCTCATCCTGGAAATGATCAGGCGAGCCGGTGGCCCCAGAATCGCGGCGCAGTGCACTCCCTGGAGCCGCCCATGCAGTTGCAACTTTAAAACGGCACTGGTTCCTGCCTGCAACCACGAGTGGTGGAGACGTACCATGGACTACACCCCTTTTGGCTCGTCCGCTGTTCGCTCCCAGTGGCCCTACCTTGGCGCCTGCGTCGTATCTCGGGCCGCCGAAGGAGAAAGCTTGCTGCCCAGGGGTGCCATGACAAGAGGGCAACTCGACGCCCTCGTTGCCGGCACCTGGGGCAAACCTCTCCCCAAGCTACGGGACCGAGCCATGGCCCTGCACCTTGCCAGCATGTCTCCCACCAAAACCGCCCTCGCCTGGAACACCTACCTCATCGCGCTCATCCCCTACCCATCCCACTACTCCCTTCCAGACACCGTGCAAGAGAGGGCGCTCCGGGCCCACCTGCGAGTCGCCCTCGGTCTCGCCTCCGCCTCCTGGATCCCCGACAACATCCTCACCGGCCTGGGCATTCGCTTCCAAGTCCCTGGCTGCCCCAAGTGCCCGGTTGCCACCTCACGTGCGATTGCGGCCAGGGCGCATGCCCCTGATGACCTGTGGGGGCCCCCGCAGGCGCGGCACAAGGCAGGGAGAAGGTGGAACAAACTTGTAAAGCGGGCCCGGGAATTCACCCCACGGGATGAACCACGCAGGCCCGGCTCCAAAGTTCTGACCGACGCCAGGGCTGCCGACCTCTTCAATCGTGCAATGAGAGAGCCCCCCCGACGCCGGGCTCGCTACTTTGGGCGCGTAGTATACGTCGCGGCTTGGACGCAGCTCCACGGGCACGTTGTAAGCAGCTGGTTCTCCACAACCAGCGACGGGCGAAGGTGGGCCCAAACAGACGGCGCGGAATGGTCTCTCCTGGGACATTGTGCCTCCTTCACCGAGGCGCATCACGTCCTACGAATCCTGGCTAACGGACTGCCTGGGTCCGCGCGCCGAAGAAGTGTTGCTGACGGAGTCCCCCGCCAGTGCAGCTGCGGCAGGGCGGCCAAAAGAGTCTGGCTCACCGCCGGGCAACGGGATTGCGGCCAGGCCTGGTGTGACTCGTGCCTCGGGCCCTGGACTGGAGAGGCTTCCCTCTGGCCCCTCCTTGGCGACG